TAAATGTGATTTACTTGGTGTCAGTAAAATGATGGTGTGTTTATATAATTATGTAATTCCATTGTAATCTTCTACCAGTTATTAATCATCTTCATAATTAGTATTAAATTAGGTTATAGTTCAGTAAAAATCATTCTATCAGAACAGTATCTACCAGAGCACTATAATAAAAAAAAGTTAAAAAGTAGCATTAGCTCTCTAAATTAAATTCTTATATTTCTATCTTCTTAAATGTAAAACTAGGGTTTTCCATAATAACATACAATTTATGTTGATAGAGCATAATAAAAATGGTTCACCTCTAGCCAGAATAGCTCCAATAATTATTAATGTAATAGTTCTCCATTTCACCATGCACATACCATGCAATGGACAAATTATACTGCCTTAGGTTCTAAATAGTCCTCAATGATTGAAGGATGCCACAGGAATCAAAATGTAGGACGTTCCAATGGAGTAAGTAGTCTCACTCTCAAGGTTCATTGAGCAAGACAAAGCTATACATATGCGGGTCATTGAAATGATTTAGCAAAATTATCTGTTAGCCAAGTATTCCAAGGGTCACACTGACATCTCTGAGCCCTGACTCTGTATATTTCCTCTTTGGTGAAATGTAAAAGTTAAAACTGATTATACTACACAGAAAACCCTGAAGGCAATGTAGTATGTTACACTTTTCAATAAATGGGAAATAAAAATCACTGGAATAAACTAAAAGGTTAGCCAGTTGAGCCTTCAGAAAGTTTCAGGTAGCTTTCTCCCTCTAGTCTCAAAATTGGCAAAAATAACTTACAAGCAAAATTATTTCTTGTAAATGTACCTTTAATTAAATAACCGAATGGCTATTACGTTGTAGTTTTACGTAGGGTCAATGTTAGCTATCTGTAAGTATCTCATTCAAGCCACATCACAACGCAGCAATAGTATCAGCAGAAAGCAAGAGCCTAATTTCACCAGCTAGAAAACTCAGCAGAACTACCAAGCCAAAAGTGCTTCAAGCAGCAAGAGAGAGCAAAACACCGGTGAAAAAGCACAAAACAAAATGATGGTCATTCATGAAGAGATAAAAGCTAGATCTGACATTCGGTCATCATTTAAACACCAGGGCCACAACCAGACACTTCCTTAACACCAAGAATCCGTTTAAGGACAGAGGAAAGGAAACTAATTGAAGAGAGAATTAGGGTGGGGCCATTCTCTCTCAGATGACCACAGCTGTGACTATTCCTGCTAGAGAAATAGGACAGAAATCACCACTAGCTGGTATCAGTTAGAGATGCAGCTTGAATCACGCCTCCCAAAACACACCAGCACAGAAAGGTCGTATTTTAACTCTGACATGTGTGTGTGTTCATTTAGACGTCACATGTTTGAGGAAGGGAAGCATAGAAGACGTGTGCTGTTCAAGGTCATTCTCTTGAAAAGAGAAAGACTCAAAAATGGTCAAGGGGACAGGAATCAAGTGACAAGTTCTTTTCACCTGATTCTGCTCACATCTGATCCCATGGGTGTCCTGAGATTCCTATTGTTCTGCCTCTATGTATACTGACCAAAAAAGGGAAGTAAGCTTTTGCTGAGAAATGTCCTATCAGTAACTGACAGTGGAAACCCATCAGTGACCCAGGCTAGCTCTAACAGCAGTGCTTCAGTGGACTCAGATTTCCAAACTGGCTTGAACCCTCTCCACCTCTCCAAACACAAGAAAAGGCAAGGTTGGCAGAAACATTCACTTGTGTGCAGAGCTCTGTCTGATTTTGACATTTAACCTAACTCCCATCTGCACCAAGAAATGGCTTTTAAAAGCATGAATCAAACCATCGTCTACATTTAGACTTCTGAGTATAGAACACTTTACTTTAAAACTTTTTTTTTTTTTTTTTTCCCTAAGGATGAGGACACAAGGACAAGGCTAACCTGCAAAAGATTAAATTCTTGTTGGGAAAAGAACAGAAAGTGAAACAAGGGTGGAGGCAGACAAAACACCTTATTTCCCAAGAACCCACATTGTACACGAGCATTTCTTTCTTCCTTGGGCTCTCTCTAAGTATGACTTCTTTGGTCAAATAAATTGTGATTATGATATTGTTTCTGTTATAATAATATTCTGGGAAAATTGGGGGAGACAAAGACGTATCATTGTCTGACATTTAGCATACACAAACAGCATTCTGGCTAGGACTTTCTGAGCAATAGGGGAACTACAAATAAATTCAGTAAGAGAGCAAAAAGATTTTAAAAATCACCTCCTAATTGCTCCCAAATTTCCTGTTATTTTATTTATTTATTTAATCCTAGGCATACCCTTTTTTTCCTGAGGTCTCAGGGTCTGTTTTTCTGTTGAGGTCTAGTTTCCCTCCAACCCTTCCCTGTTCTCCTCGGAGTTTCAAGTTAGGAGCAAACCCAGCAGAAGAGCGGCCCTCATCTCTTTCAGGTTTACTAGGTCTGTGGGTGGGGGAGGCTTAGTTGACTTGACAGTGGTGTTCCAACTGGAGGCAAAAAAGGATATAAATGACTGACCAAATCCAGGAGAGCAAGAGGAGAAGGAAACAAATGGAGATCTAAGAAATAAATACGTATTTAGCCTCTGGTTTTCAATCCTGATAAACCATGCAGTATTTGAATATCAAGGCATTTTGTAGCCAGCTTTCCTTCTATGTTCTTGAATATTCATTTAGAAGAGAGTATGGGGAGGGAGG